GAAATACAGAAGGGGAAGATGAGGCTTTCTAAGGGACTAACATAACTCACAGGAAAAGGAGATTACTCATCATTACCATGCAATAAAATTATAACATGCTGTATCTCATGGCCATTTTATACTGGTCTACTGCTCTCACTATCACATGATAATTACAAGAATTAATAGTATGAGAGAGATGACTATGCAGCTTTTCAACTATTCCCTTTCAGTTAATACATATATTAATTTATATATGTGTGTGCTTATACATATATATATATATAAATTAAGACCTGTAATTCAATCCTCAATTTCTCTCTCTCTATACACATATAATTCTGACCCACCTTCAGTTGCCTATTGTCTGTCTAAGCTAAGACTGTCTCCCTCTATAGATGACAGACACTGAAACATTTCAGGGGTGGTCCATAAATTCACCATGGATGCCCTATCTCACAGTGAGGCTAGTTAAGTTCTGAAAATAGTTCACACTTTTTACATATAAAGAGAGAGCAGACCAGTATCTTAGATTGGATGTCACAGTATCAGACAGCAAAAGATAGATGAGATGAATCCCACCCAGGCTTTTTTTTCCCAAGCTGTGTACTAACATCAGTGTTTCCATCTAAAGGAGAAAAACAGAAAACAATTATCTATTTTGCTATGGTTCACACGTGTGATTACATGAGGGATCCTCTCCTATCTATCTGGATTATATCAGACTACTCCAATACCTGACAGATCAGCAGGCTACCCACACACTGTAGAAATGGGGAAATCATCTACCGCTATTTAAAAGATAAAGCAAAAAGAAAACCCTGCATTTTGGGGACTGAAATATGATTGTATCCTCAAAGCACTGTCTCAGCTCTAGATAAGCTCAAGTAGCAATAAGCAAAGAGTGTTTTCTCAGGAAAGAACCCATACCATTTCAGTAGATGATATAGATCACACACCTTTTAATATACCCACAAATTGGATCTTACTCCCAACAGAGGTAGAGAAACTAAGGCATAACAAAACTCATACACAATCAAATGTAAATCACCTATAGTTGGCTTTATATCTTATAGGGTTATTCCATGACTCCCAGTTTCCTCAAACTGTGGGCAGTGAAATGGGTATCTGGAGACAGTCAGCTCAAGGACAGCAGATTGCATGTCCACATGCATTTGTCACAGTATGGCACTGGCACATGCTTTGGGCTTTCTCAGCTACAGAGAGTACAGAGCCAGAGACCCAAGTGCCCATCAGTACTGTGACTAGCCAGGAAGATGTTTGCACTGGAAGACGTAAGGATGAGAAGTAAATCCAAAACGGAAAAACCCCCAATCAAAAACTAGAAAACAAACCTCAAACCAAACAACAACAACAACAAAAAAAAAAAGACTTGGAAGGTATTGATAATATTCCATGTGGCAGTTAGTGAAGAACAATTAACCATAACTAAGCACAGAAATGTGCTTATGCATCATTTAAGCTTTGCAAGAAAGAAACTACCTGTTTAGAAAATATTAAGACTCTTATATGTTAGTGAAACCCAGAAAACATAGGGTTTAGCACTATTTCACTTCTATTTACACCAAAGTTCAGAGAAGAGGAGAACAGAAACAGGACCAGCGAGACTTCAGGGTGAACTTGTCTGCCACACAGTAGCTATTTAATGGGACAGGACCACACCCATTTAAGTGGTCAGGCAGATTGTCAAACGTGCTGTGACAATTTAGGAGCTTCCAGTATCATAAGGGATTTTGAGTGAACAGGATACCTGAGGTTTGCAGAAAACTAGCTGTCTCTAATAAGATTATATTAAGGTCACATCTAGAGCCAGCTAGTTCTTTACATGCATCTTCAGATGCACACTTTTGCTTCATCCACACATCTTGAATTTCAATTACCCATTTTCAGTCATGACAGACACAATCCTGTCCCACATATCTGACACGGTCTTGCAAACATTGTCCCAGCTGTGTCTTCTATCAACTTACCGTTCTGTTCTGACACTGTCTAATTCCCCTCTGTTGCATCAAATGTGAACTATTTATCTTTGCTTTTCATGGCACATTTCCAACCTATCTACCTGTCACGACTCTGACATTTGCCTTCTCAAAAATGTCAAACTCTTCTGGTCATAGCCTTATATTTTTCAAACTTGCAGATTTATCGCTTTCTCCCATGTCACTCCATGTCTGTAAGCATTCAATTTCCTCCTCTTTTTAATCTCTGCCTTATGACTATTTGGCTACAAGAAAGCCTAGAAATCATTATGCACCTGGTAGACTGAAACTGCCACCTATGATGCTGATGAAGCCTTTCTGGCACTCTGTCACCTGTGCCAGCATGTTTTTTCCCTTCAGAAACTTAACTGCAAACTCTTTAGTGAAGGTATAATATGTATTGTTGACTATTCCTCGGAGCAGGATCCAGTGTGGTCCAGAAATATTTGGAAGAAAAAAGTGAGATTGCTTACATATCAAACATAAAATGCATTTCAACACTTCACATATGATGGCAGTAAGTTAGGGACAATGCCTCTTCAGATCTCAGTTCTTAAAATGGAATTGTCTCACAGTCTGAGGTGGTAAAACATAAACCAATAATTCCAGAGGCATGTCATGCAGTTCTTTCTGGAAGCATGGCAAAGAATGAGTCTTTTTAAAGTTTTCAACCACCTCTTACCACACCAAAAGGAGGCAAAACTCAAGGTGATGCAACTCACACCAAAAAAAAAATTCACCCAACAATGAAACAATTCACCCTGTTTCACTTGCAGCAGATTGCCAGGTAAATCTTTACCCTGTTGCTGCATGGATGTGGATCTGAAGGGCAGTTTAATGAAAGAAATAGCCTCTCCTAAGTGGTACAAGTTCAGTTTCATGCCCATCAGTCTCAGTGTTCAAGTAAAAATGAAAATCTCTTGAGATTATATTTCAAATCTTACAAAATTAGATCTTTTACTTTGAAAGAACTACACTGATTTACATTATTGGAGAGATTCCTATGCACTGAGGATATTCTGGAGTTATGCTGTGATCAAATCTATGGCTTTCATTCGCCTGCTAAAAGGTACTCCTGAATGTCAATCACTATCAGCTGAAAGAGATAATGTCTCTTGTTCTGCAAATTTCTTATCAACAGTTTGCATTTGCCCACGAGCTTTGAATTGGTTTCATTGCATATTTCAAGCACATGAATGCATTTCTCCAGACTAATGTTGCTGTTTATCAGCCTTGCTTGGCTTACAGGGCAGCTGGCTCCACAATCAGTCTGGAATCAAATTAGCTGTTGATAAAATGGTTGTAAATAAGCTGAGCAGGTGAATAGCTGTACATCACATGTGTGCACATCTTGATCTGCTGAAAAGTCTGAACACAAGACCTTCCTGAGAAACTTTTCAGAGTAGTTTCTACCTCAGTTAACCTTAAATAACCACAGATACGTAAGTGTCTTTAGAGTGCAGGCATGAGCTGACAGCAGCAGGAGGCTTCACTTGCTCCACAGAAATGTCTATGGGGAAAACTGGTCATGAACTGATTCTATGAAGTAATGAGATGGTCTCCTTTGGACAGAAGCCACATGGAGTTGGCACAGACATAGTGAGCCTCAGGCCCTGAGCTCATATGACAGCACAGATGTAGCCTAGAGTTAAGTATCCCTAATCACTTTTGATGGTCAATAGTTAAAGTTCTTTTCCTTCTCCAAGGAGCCTTTCCCTTCTCACCAACTGAATTTGGCCACCTAGTTTGTGCCATCTAGTATTTACACCAGTCATCAGCTGGTGTAAGTACCCTGTCATGGCCTCAAACTCTGCGTGTACTCTGAGGGTTGGGTTTGAAGGTTTGAAGAGGGTTGCTACCTTTTGGAACAGAAAGAACAATGGACAAAAAGTAAGCCTTCTTTTTAAGACTATAAACTCAGTATTTTTCTTCCTATCCTTCATCTGGCTTGGCATAATTTCCACACCAAGCCTCTGGCTTCCTTTGTATTTACAATATAGAGTTCAGGTGACAGATCCATGAACAGACCTCTCAACAGACTCTCCTGTCAGCTGCAGGTCCCACAAATTATTTCACCATTAACTAACAAACCATTACGATCTCCAAAATTACAGTACCGTTGCCAATATTCTCAGCTTTAAACCACTAAGTACCTTTCCTTCTCTTCTACCTTTTAGCTTAACAGGGGGGGAAAAAGTGCATCTCACTAATCTCATCCTATCTGCGGTCCAAGTGCTCATCAAACACCCGGAGTGGTTATAGTTGTATTCCTGGAACTGTTATTCTTACTCACTGTTTTTTTCTCTTTATTTCCTGTGTTAGAACTGAAAGTTTGCCTCATTTTTTGTTTTGCCTTTCAGTCAGCTGTATAAAGAGGTTTTATTTTGGCTTTTCTTTTCTCTCTATTTTTATTAGATTTCACAGAATGTTGTGCCTCTACTGTTTGATAGGGGGTTTTTTAACCTTTAAAACACCTTAATATTCCTTTTGCTGTAGATTTCAGTAGCTGAATGTTTCATGTACTGTCAGTTTGAGATACTGTTAATGGCAGCAGCCAAAAAAAAATCATAAACTGTTGAAAATTAGGTTCCTGCAACATGAAATTTCAAATAATCTAAAACCAAAAAAGACCAGAGTGGCGAAATTGACATAAAACCCTAAACACAGATTAAAATCAGCCAGCTCAGTCCAGCTAAATTCAAGTAAATGTTGAATGACCAATGTGTCTATGATGTGGATGTAATATGAATGACTTTATGATTCTCCAAATCAATGAACAGAGTGAAGAAAAAAGCCGCAGAAAATCAGTTAACATAATCTGGTTTTGTTTTCTCCAAAATATTTGTCAAACACATGCATAGTTACAAATGTATTCCTGTGTTTTCTTGACCTGTTCAAACCAAGCCAGGACATGCTACATCCTGTGGTGTGATATGACCTCTCACAAAGCTCCTTAGTAGTTTATGTGCACCTTGACAAACAAGCTGTAGTAGAAAACACTGTAGGTGTGGGTTTACTTACAGTTGTGACAAGTCGCTCCCGTGTAGCCCGTATCACCACAATCACAGTAAAAGGTGCTCCAGGACTGAGAGCATTTACCTCCATGTTCACAGTAGTTGGGTAAACATCTAATTTGAGAGAGTTTTGAAAAATGTAATTAATTATAAGGATTTCTCTAAAAACAATGTGCTGGAAAAGAAATTATAAAAGTGTCTCTACTCCTCATTCAGGCAAGAGTTTCCTAGGGCTGATTCATTGTATAATACCTGAAATAATTACTTATTCCTCTGATCTATGATTCGCCTCCAGTACAAGCATGGAAGAAAACAACATTTAAACTATCCAGCAGGTAGGTTAAGATCATTCTCAATAAAAATATTCCACTTGTTAGCAATTAAAGTGTCACAAACTTTCTGAACACAGAGCAAGAAAAGTAACAGCTGAAAATGCTATTAAAATCTTGTTTCAAGAATCCTCTGTTCTCTGATTAAACAGGCACCACTGTTATCAAAATTAGGCTGAGTTACATTTGTGGTAACACAAACAGCATGCAAATCTCTGAAGTGAGAGGAAAAATACGCTTCAATTATGAGCTGTGCACTCTCTGTTCTTTTCCTCGTTTTAGTTGCTGTACCTCTGAAGTATTATTGTTAAACAAATTATTAAAAGAAGAAAGAGGCACAACAGCATGCAGCTCAGGAAGTGAACAGAAACAAAAGCTGTGGGAGATAAATTCAATCTCCAGGACAAGAAGTGAATGCTGATCTGAACTCCCCTGGTATAAATGCATGCAGTGCGATGGAGTTACCCCAGCCTAAATGGAAACAGATTGTTCTCTTGTTTGCTGTTTCTTTCATTTTTTTTTCTTCTTACTGTATATTAATCTCTTTTACACAGTATGTCTGACTTTTGAAAAATAAGTAATTTGTTTATACTGCTGATTCAATTGTGATGGGTGGGTGGAGAGGAAACAGGCAACCAATTTATCTCTTACACTACAGAACTCCATTAGGGTTTGCTTTGCTGTAATTTGAGCTTCAAAACACTTTTATGCCCAGAGCTTTCCGTGGTCACAGTGCTGAAGTCACTTATGCTACCTAGATTTTTGCAGCTGTGGTTCATCTCATCCTTACAATTTTTTTTGTATATAAGCATGCATTTTGCCTTTAACTGTGGATTTCAGTCAGTTTCATCTAGGTTACTTACAATTAAAACCCATTTCATGCATGCAAGCAGAAAACCTGTATGCCCCTTACAATCATCCATCTTCACCAGCCTTCTGAGCCTCATTAGCCAGGTTTTCATCAGCCTACCTGAGTACAAGGCTGTTTAGAGCTGTGAAGCATTAACACCCCAAAGAAACCTGTTTCTGTGCCCAGAGGCCAATCAGACTAACCCCTCATCCTCAGTATGCTCCATGACAGTTCACACAAACATACATATATCCATCTCATTGTGAGTCTGGGATTCAAGTTTCATGTGATCACTATTTATACCATCCTACATAAAATTATAAAGATCATAGAAAAATATTAACATGAAAAATTATTTTTATTAATGTTTACTCAATTATTCCCATTATTTATTATAATACTGGAGAAATAAGGAATTCAAGAAGAAAGTATGCTGTTTATAACTATATGTAACATTTTTTAAAACAATTATAAGATTTATTAGTCTTGTAAAAGTCACTGTCATGGCTTCTATTAATCACTGGGCTCAAATACAAAATGAGGAAAGAATATGACAATTACATGCCTGGTTTTCCAGCTCACCAGGGAGCTTTTTCCAGTGCTGTAGGAGAACCTATTGTTTCTAAAGAAGAAAAAAAGGGGAGGGACAAAACCACTGGGTTTCCCCACCCTTACATATCAGCAGTTTTGAGAAGGGATGAGATTGTCTTTTAATGGTATGCTGAGCAATCATCTAACAGCCAAACAGCCTGCTGGTGCAGTGACAGCCCAGTCACCCCTCTGCATTAAAAACAAATACTCCTGGTAGCAGTGAAGAAAGATTTAGAAGCTTTGGGTCAATTCTGAAGAAAGCACAAGCAATCTTGTGGAATGGCACAGAGGACCTGCACACTGCTATGTTCTGTAGGACTGTGACAGCTCCCTCAAACCAGCATCTCCCCAGCAGCTTTGTTCCAGAGGCAAAGCACAGTGGTACACCACCATTGTGGTGATACATATGAATTTTGCCTGTGGGAGAAGATTTACTCATATTTGTGCTTTGTTTGTGCCTGCCCTTGCCCTCAGCACACTGCCTTTAATTCTACTTGCTATTTAGTGATAAACATTCTTTTATGTCACCTGTACAACAGCAGTAGTTCTATTCACATCACAGGGACGCTGGTGACATGAAACATCTGATGTTAACAGAGCTCTTTGAAGAGCTAAAAAGAATAGTGCTGTGTTATTATCACAATTTACATCATCAGTGTAATGGACAAATAAGCTTTCTGCCTATTTTAAGCTACCTTTTATTAATTAACCCAATGCAGTAGAGCTAATTACTAGTAATTTGCAGTTTGCCAAAGGCCTGTATGTAAAGGCTTAGCCACATTTATTCTGTTAAAACAGTTTTCTTTAAAGAGTTTACAAAGTTGAAGGTCATTTCTTGTTTCTACTTGTCTTGCAAATGCAGACACTTTTCCTTCCCCCAGCAATGCACAAAATTCAAGTCAAACAAACCATGTAAGCTTTTAATTATATTCATAAATTCAGAATTAAACCTTTTTTATTCCTTAGTCTATTTGCCTTAATTAGCACCAACTGCATTGATCTTGTTTTCAGTCAGATAACTAACCCTTCTAAGAGCTTATAAAAAAAATTTCTTTGCAACTCTAATAATTACCATAATCCCATTCTAGCTGAGCAGTTGTATCTTCATTAGAAGCAAAAATTATCCTAATTGTCAGAGAACTCAAATTTAAGAAATAGCTATGATTAAAATTAATCAAGGCATGCCTAAGTCACAGGTTGTTCCATTTGCACACTGTCCCAGATCCTCATGTTGAAGAATTTAAATATATGTAATTTAAAATTTAAATTAATATTTACATTCTAGTAGAAACAAACAATTTTAGGAAAAAACCCCCCAAACCAAACCAAACCAAAAACCACAAACAAAACAAACAAAAAAAACCCAAAACCAACCAAACAAACAAACAAAAAAACCTAAAAAAATGTAGTAGTATAACAGAAGGTTTCACAGACAAAAATTTGCAGCAGACAGCCCCTGACCTATTTGCAACTGAAAAGAACAAACAGATCAACTCAATTTTTGCATCATAAATTAGACATTTGGAAATTTAAGTATTTGCCTAAGACAGTTTGTGACATCCCAGAGACTTCATCTTCCAGATTAATTCACAGAATATATCATCATGAAATATTCTTATTAAAAAAAAATAAATGAAGCAAATAAAATTTTCCCTCCTTTAGCCAAGCTGGAAAACACACCCTTAGCCATCTAAGTGAGCAATATGCAGAGCCTGCACAAAAGCTTTCACTGTCCTTAGAATAAAACATTCACCTCCCAAACTGTATGTGTGCTTCCTTTGATATCAAAGGACAAACTGCATAGACACTGGGGGGGGAGAGAAATTTGGCCCTCTGATAGGAATGAAGAAATAACAATGACAAGATTATTTGAGAAGGAAGCTGAAGAAGGTCCAAACATTTGATGTTACACTTGACTAGAATAAACCCAGTATAGTCAATAAGCCCCTCTGAGCTTTTGTTATAGTCAGCACTACACATCCTGACAGCACTACTCACTATCCTTCCTAAATAAACAGCGAAGAAAGGGAACCATCACAGAGAGAATTGAAAAAGGAGCACACCCCCTCAATATTAGGACTGACAATATATATAATTTTGAGACAAGTACTAAATCCCTAAATCTCAACAATGTTCAAAACAAGAAAATAAATGAAATTTTACAAGTTTTCTATCAAGAAAGCATTTTCCTGAATATTATCTCAAATTAATTTTTATGTCAGCATATTTTCTTATTTAAGGCCAGCAGCTGTTTAACATATCATTAACAAAATATAACGCTAAAAGAAATTACTTCATCTAGTAGGCATGCATGTATGTTGAAACTCCTATTGTTGCTGTAACAGACTGTATTTTGCTTTGCTAAATGATATCGTTCCACCAAACTCAATAACTTGAGGCCAATTGCAATAGAATGGGTTTTGGCCCCTTGTGCTGAGCCATAAATTTGGTAAATTCCTTGCCAAAGGTTATTTCTGATACAAGAAACAGGTTCAAGGGGAGAGCAGACAAACATTTTGAAGAAAAATCTACCAATAGTACTACACAGACAACGTATAACAACTTCAGAGGTTTACCAAGGGGAAAACTAATGAAGATTAGAGAGCATCAGAAAAAGCATTGCAGAAGCACATCCCACTCTCATTTCTCCCGGGATGAGCTTTTGTGGTTAAGCAGTGGGCTAGATCTCCTTAACTAAAGGGAGAAAAGAGAACTACCAGAACCAGAGGGAGGATGGGAGAAGGAGTGTAGAAAAATAATATTACAACAGGCTATAAAAGAATTAACACTCTTCAGACCTTTGATTTTCCTCAGCAGACATTCCCGCCTCATCACACCACCTTCCAACTCTTCTCTCCTCTTGCAACTTTAAAAAGCCAATCAATGACATATTAAAAAGTCTTTTGGCATACTTAATCTTTTAAGTCATCTACATTTTATTTCCTAAATTTATTATGTTATGAGAACTCATGGAATACAAACAGAACAAGATACATACAAAGACAATTCTTCTTTCCATGCTGGGAATCATCTACTCTGTCCCACTGAATAGAAGAAAAAAAAAATCCGAAAGGAAAAAAAAAAAAAAAGATATTTCTGCCATCTTAATAATTTATCACAATGGCAGGTTTTTCTTTTTTTTTTGAGATTTGCAAAAGTTGATGACTGAAATTCTCAAATATATTATTATTTCCATTGTTGGCCACCTTGGTTTTCAGACTCTGAACTGGCATACCACTGTGAGACCAACATTTAGAAGATCTGAACATTAGTGACAACAGCCCTTAGGCATGTGACTGGGACAGAACTGTGGGAGGAGGTTGTGCTGGGACTGGCACGAGTGA